ATAAGTATATCACATTATATCTTAAGTGTTATACCAGAGCTTCCATAAGTATACCACATTATAAAGTGTTATACCAGAGCTTCCATAAGTATAACACATTATATTTCCCTTTTCCAGGATGCCTTTGCCAGGGCATTTGTTCAGCACTACAGCAGAATCTCAGTAATGTTGGTGCAGAGTACAGACTCGGAGACTCTGAGTAACCGCGTCGTCCACGTGTCGGTGCAGCTGTTTTCCGACCAAGACTTGGCCTACCGCATGACCGACTCCTTCCACCTCCTCCACGTCATGATCGTTAGTTTGAAAAATATGATGAAATCCATATGTGTGCCATCAACTCTCCACGGTAAGTTGCCACGGAGAACGGGTTTATTTATGTTTTAAGTCAGTTGTTTATGGTCGAGTTTCATAGTATATATACAGTAGTGTTTGTGTAGTAAGGCTGCCTGTAGGTCACCTGTAGCCCACCCTTCTGTTGTTGAACCTGTGGCTGTTAAGTGGTGGTTATAGGTCGTGCTTCAAGGGTTTTAGTCTCGGCCAGTTTGTGTACTATCCCTTTGCTCTATGCTTTTCTGTTTCTATAATAACAGTTTGGTACATTTCAGTTTCCTTCTCAAATATTTTTTTTTTTAAGTTTACTGGATTTTTAATTTCCTTAATTTTATTGACTAAGTCTTTTTACTCTTTATTATCTATTACACGTTACAATCTCTCTTCTAAAGATGGACATTGTATATTGGTTTTGTTAACCCTTTGTGTATGGGTTCCTCTCTTCTGAATAAAGTCATCTAGTGTTGTCCAATTAAAATATTCATAGTAGCGTCCCTGTAGTGAAGATGTTAAAGATGAACCTTGTGTGGTGTACCGTGTCATACCCCCCCAGCAGTGAGGGATGGTCAGGTATAGAAGGAGAGTTTACCATGACACTTGCAGCACAGTATAGTGATTAATAGATAAACAGGCCTTAGTGTTTGGTTACTTTCTACTATCTAATAAAAGGGGAATATGAATATGAGGAAAGAACGTTTGGAGGATTAATTAAGCGCATAAAACATTTTAATATAGGTAGGAAGGAATGTGGGCCATATGTGTGTGTGTGTGTAAGGTTGGATGATATATGAGTGGGGGACAGATTTGAAACTGTACCTTAAATATTTTATACACAAACATAAATATAACTTTCTACGTTACTTTACGGTATAAGTTTTATTTATTGTTAAAGTTCAAGTTATTTTTCGTTTCATAACAAATTGATTTCTTTCTCACAGATAAGTTACGGAATTCTCATAAAGTTGTGAACTGCGCCGACCACGTCATGAAGAACCACTGCTACTGGCCGCTGGTGTCTGACCTCAACAACGTACTCTCACACAAGCCAATTGCCGTCAAGTTCATGAGTGACCCAAGACTCATACAAGAATGGTTCTCGTTCTTGTCAATGTTCCAAGGTAAGGTAAAGGTGATGACAGGATTGTGAGCTAAGACAGAGAGGATTGTGAGCTAAGACAGACAGGATTGTGAGCCAAGACAGACAGGTTTGTGAGCTAAGACGGTAATGAATGAAGGTGTATTTATTGATAAGGGAAAACCAGAATAACATAAACATTTTGTCATTGAAAGTTAATAATAATGTAGTGTTTTTTATACAGTCATAACTCCTCTCATATCTTCATCAGGGATACCACCCACTAGTTATATTAAACTGTATCCTCAAATAGTACTGTACCACCAACCCTCTCTTACTGTACCACCAACCCTCTCTTACTGTACCACCAACCCTCTCTTACTGTACCACCAACCCTCTCTTACTGTACCACCAACCCTCTCTTACTGTACCACCAACCTTCTCTTACTGTACCTACACATAGTAACCCTCCTACTCAACCGTCACTGTAAATGTAAAAACAATTGTCTTTTACAGGAATGAACGTCAACGTGAGAGAATTAACACAACATGTTGAGTTTGAACCCCAGACTTACTACGCAGCTTTTAGTGCAGAGCTGGAGGCCTCGGCGTCTCCCATGTGGGCCCTCGTCTCACATCTACGCGACTCTGAGACCAGACACTACACCTTCTCGGTCCTTAAAGAATGTCTCCATGCGCTGAAGATCTGGTTCATGTCCGTCGGGTTTTCACATTCTGATTTGGTACGTGTGAGTGATGAGCGCAGCGACGTTAACTAATATCTAAGAGTGACAAAAATATGAATTAGTTTTGAAAATTCACTTGAGTAAATTTTCTGCGGATAAGATAAAACCGAGTCACAGGAGGAGGTTAGTGGAGAGCTGGAGAAATATAAGCTAATTAAATCCACAGTTTTTGATGAGGATTGTACCAAGTAATGACTGACTGTAGAAGATGCTGTATTGTCTGTCACTAATACACGATCATATTTTAACTGTGGGTTTATAAATGTCTTGTTTCGTTGGTACTTCATTCTTCCTGTTATATCTCTGAAGCTGGTAAGAATGATGACAGTCAGAAGGAACGAACACCATGAAGAGAGCCTTGGTGTGGAGGGTTGCTGGGTGTTTGTCATGAATCTTGTAAAATAAAAGAATCATCAACGTTTTATGGCCATTTTCCACGCTCCTGTGGTTTAGCTATGGTTACCTGATGGCAGCTCTCCATGTTGCCCGGTCTCTTGCAGTTTCTCTTGTCAGATTCTTAACTAATGTTATTTATTAAAATTTTATGCTTATGTTAAATTTTGGAAAACTCCAGAATAAAGAATGAAATTTGTAAGTGGAGTGAATGTTTTTAGTGAGTACTGTAACTGGAGTTGATGGAGAGGGATGTGGTGTAGGAGTCAGTGTACTGTTGATGCTCTATCTGACTGTGGTGGCTGAAGGGAATATTGTGACAGTTTGCCTTAAAAACAGTAATAGAAATGAATGAAATGATGTAGACTAAATTTATTAAAGCATTATGTTTGGTATATAGTGAGTTGTTGACACCAGTAATAGGTACCAAGTTGTAAGGCTTGGTTGAGGATATGAAGTTAGGCATTATTTGTGTACATGTTGGAACACTGAAAATATCGACAGCTCGGGCACTATATCACATTTCATGACGTACTGTAGAAGAACCTCCAGTGTTTATTAAGGATGAGGTTTATCAGTAATTTTAATTATGGCGTCATTTATTTTTTTCCCAGGGTGATCCATACCAGGTATCGTTTCACCTGCCACTACACCGCTACTACTCGGTGTTCATGTGCCAGGCTGTGAAGGCTCAGGGGGCACAGCTACATGAGGTGCTGCCATCTCAGGACTTGCTGCATCATATTATGGTTCATCCTCTTAGGTTACAGGTGAGTGAGAGCAACTGTTTGATGTGAGGAAGAGTAAAGACAATATGGAGAAGGGTTAGAGGCTACTTTGTCTTATAAGAAACTTGAAGATGGAGGCACTGAAGACGATTTATAGATGTAAGGAAATAAGAGGTTCTGTATTATTGGTTGACTGTGTTAGTGTTTTAGGTGTGTTTCAGACTGGGTGGAGTCTGTCCTGCTTCTCCCTGGTAAAGGACGTGTATAGATAGTCATTGTGGTGCCAGTCAAGGTTTACTTATTGTGGTAACAGAGTCGAGCATTGAAAGATTATTTGTTTTTTCTATTATTGTATTAAGTTATTTCTCTTAATGATGATCCATATTTTGTGCACATTAGGGTGGCATAAAGAGCCGTTTGGTGTCATTTAAGGTATATTATCTCTCACCCATTAGTTATTTAGATTGTTAACAATGTCTTCACAATTTGCTCCATCAGGCGGCTTTCTACGAGATACTGAGCGGCATGTGGGTGCGTAATGGCCTGCAGATCAAGGGCCAAGCCATGACGTATATTCAGTGCCACTTCTGCAACTCCATGGTGGATGCTGACCTCTACCTCTTACAAATCTGTGCTGGTGAACTGCCTCCAGACAACTTTATCTTGACGGTCTTAGACAGGTGGGACAGTACTGACCTTTGTTAAGTTTATTGTTCTGGTCAAGATATTGTATAAGCTTGTTGTAAAGCTTGTTGAAATTATCCATTGTGTTTCAGCTATAGAGAAGAGTTAGGATTTGCCTCTTCACAACACTAGCATCAGTAGCACTTGATGGGCGCTTTTAAGCTATTTCAAATGGTTAGAGTACAGAGACTGTCCTGGCGTCGCTTGGGGACGCTGTGACGTTCCGCGAGAGAGCGTAGCGTGGCCAGACGAGAGAGGGCGATGCACCATAAAAAGTAGTCTGTGACAAGCAAAAAGACATACTGAGTCGTCGGGACGTTAAACGAATTTTTGGTCTCTAAAATTTAGCGACGTAGTACCGAAACAACGTTAAGCGGGTCGAAGTTATACGAGGACTTACTGTGTCCTCAGAGCTCCATCAGTATTGGGATATACTGTACATCTTCAAGAGAATATGTGCAAATCATATTCAACAGATCCAGTGGAGTAGCAGCTGATACATTTGCCAACAGCGCATTTCCCTGAAACTTTAAAGTTTCAATTTCAGATGCAAACTCATTTTCATCTAAATCACTTGGATACACAAGAGCAAGGTCAGATTGACTCTTCTTCAGGTTGTCAGTAGTAAAGGAAGACAGGGCAATCCATGAAGAAATGACTTACCGGTATTTATAAATTGGAGATTATGAATTAACCTATCCAGTGTAGCATTAGTACAGGCTTTTCTGCTAGAGTAATCTTTTGGTTTTGTCCCCCTTACCTTGGCACCCAGGGTGGCTGTCCCTTCTGCCACCCACTAGATATGCCCCTGGTGTGTATATGATGATTGATAAGTGTGAGGACCCTTTGTTACAGTGATAACCTTTGTATTCCACATATTGCACCATATTGTCTCAGAAAATTCCTTATGTTTGTATCGTTTCAGGTTTCATGTTATGGAGTCCCTGAGTGTAGCACCGAGACCATCCAACAGTTTCCTCGACTCAGAACACGAGATGACCATCATGGAATCCTGTCTCACCTTCCTGGCAACACTTATGACTGTTAGGACTAATATTGGTAATTATTGTGTTGCTCTTTGTTGTATGTGAGTTAGTTAAGGTGTTGTATGTGGGTTAGTTAAGGTGTTGCACAGGTATTGTGTTGTGGTATGTGAGTTAATGAATATATGTGATTTAATTTTAAAGGAAAACAACGTGTGGGAGGTGTTTGGTGATAGGAAAACTAAACGACAGTTAAGTGGAGGTTGTTGAGACGTGTTGTGAGTATGGAAGAAAGTGTTTTGAGGCTTAGGTAAGAGAGTAGAGTGTTAAACAAATGCTGTGAGGTTAAGGTAGGAGGAAGGAAAGAAAAAGATATGTATTTTGTTGTCCTTTTTTGTGTGTGTTTGTTGAAAATGGAACTTGTCTTAGTACTGTGTTGATGTTGTGTGTGTGTGTGTAAACTCTCTGTGGTAGGTTTATAACTTGTATTGATGTAGATGTGATGAAGAAACTTAACACGACTACATATGTGAGAGTTACTCCAGCCCAGAAGTAGTCGAGAGATGAAAGGAAAATGATGTCAGAAAATGGAGTTAACGTTTAGTAAATTTGAGACAAGTTTTATGGTATAATCTGATGCTGCTTCACCCTGTGTCTTGTACAGGGTGATATTTTCATTCAAGAAACCAAAATCATTACTTTATTTTGTGACGTGCAATAAACAGGAACCTAAAAATCAGTAGGAATAAAATCTGGTAATTTAACAAAACTCTTTAACTTGCTGGTTAACTATTTGGGACCGGAATATGAAAATTGGAGTAATTAGCGTTGATTAATAGGCTTTGGAATAATTTAATACATATGGAATATTTCAAACGTCAATTACGTTGTGCCCGTAAGTTTTAAGTCGCCTCATATATATTTTCTCAGTATACTGTACAGTGTATGGTACAGTAGTGTTGTTTTAGATGTAATATAAAGGAGTAGCAAGTGGTGTTGGGTGAGTGAAGTGTTTGATGGGGCAGTATCTTGCCGTGGAAGGGTTTAGGACCAGGAAGTACTGTTAGTGGTGTTAGATAATGCTGTAATGGTCTAAGAGTTGTGAAAACTTACAGTGTGTAAGAGTAAGACACTGTACCTCTTTATGTGAACAGTTGCACTCAAAATTGTCTGAGAGTAAATATCAAGAATTTTTGTACGATAAAGTCTTAGCCGAGTATTATGCTGTTTTAATATTGTAGAAGACAAAAGTTATTGATTATTATTATTTAGTTCTTATTAACTAGGATATAATATCCATGTCATGCTAGTAGACCTTAACCAGTCTCACTATTATGTGGAAGGTAGAGCATTTTTACCAAGGTTTTTACAATTGTGAAACCTCCGCCTCACAATCTACTGCACATACAGATCAAAGACCATTATATTGAGGGTCTGTTAGATGTGAGACCCCTTCCCTTCCTCTCGTGGATTGATGGAGAGCGGGGAAGTGTTATATTGAGGTTTCACTGTATCTTGTGTTTTATCTGTTACGGTACTACACACTTGTACTGTACTGTATCTGTGTGCCATAATTCCACAGGTTTAAGTGAGAGTGAATTAGCTCAGTTGGAGATGGTGACTCTGTTGTGTATGGGAGACAAGACTCACTCTCAGCTGATGGAGTACATGCCGGAGAAGTGTGGCAGCGCTGCACAGAGCAGAGATTTTGAAGTGGTATTAAGTAAGGTAAGTGTGGACTACTGCAGTTGTTATCTAAACCACTTTGATTCCTGCTTTGGTTTTCATTTACGTGGTACACTCCCTCCACAAAGGGTCTTCACGGAGGGGTCTGATGAATTTCAAAATTAACGCTGCGACTCCTGTTGCCTCGGTCAGGTTGTCAGAATCCTTTGTCAGTTGTGTCGTATTGTCTCGCACAATATTAGAAAGATATTTTTTGGAGTGAGTGTACTGTATAGGATGAACATGGGTGACTTGAATAATGTTTTGTTTTTGTGTCTAAATCAGAATGTTACATTATAATTTTTCATTTATTATTTTGTTAACATGACTCACCCAGTAGGCAGGTGTAATACATTCATTATTTACCCCAACAGGTGTCATCATATAGAGCTCCCAACTTTGAAGCGTCGGGAACAATGCAGCAGGGGATGTACATACCACGTGATGAGGTGTGGGAGAACCTGTACGACCCCATCTACATCCTCCTGCGGGCGGTACAGCGGAGAGACTTCCAGGCCTCTCTCGACAGATTTAAGTTGTTGTGAGTGTTGTCGAGCATTTGTTACTGTTATAGGATTCATTTTTTGGAGTCCATTGCAGGAGTGATACGTGCCATGGTGTGTTAGCTGTGTGGATCTTTCATCAACTTTCTTCCTTAGTCTAACAGTATCAGACACACTAAATATTAGAGGCTCAAATTGTATGTAATTTTAATTTAAATGTGAAAGAGAAAGTAAGATGTATTTTGTGCGCACAGATAGACCAAGTATTTAATATATGTGTGGGTGAGGAAGATGCTCAGTGTGGTGTAGGGTACTGCTCACCTAATTATGTAGTGACTGAGTTGAGTTTTGAGCCTCCTGTTCATGGTGGAGATCTTGTGAGAGTTGAGCACAGAGTTTTGGAGCTTTACTAAGTGCTGTCCTAATGTGCCACTTGGAGGATCATCTGCTCAGGGGATCTTTTAAGGCCAACTGTTTATGATTTACCTGAAAAATGTGACACTTGCAAATCTTTTTAAAAGTATTATTATAAGGTTTTAGGTGGAGTATATTGAAGTGTTGTGTGTGATTGATATGATGATAATAATTATTATGACTGTGTTAACCAGAGACAAGCTGTAAAACTATCATATGCCATTACAGCTGCAAGCAGTCTGGAAACATCAGCAGCTCAGGAAATTTGTGGCCGCCATTCCGTTTGCCAAGTGCCGTTACGAGCCCCTACACTGACCCCCAGAGGATAATTGCCTGTAGGAGTTTCCACGCTGTGATCTTCATGCTGTTGTATAAAGCTCTCAATGAAGTGTCCACCACAGACCACCTCTTGGCCCTCACTGTGTACTTGCTGGAGCTGACGGTTGAATACCAGGCCAAACACCGCTCACAAGGTGGGTGACTGTACTGAAGAGTCTCAATACTTAACAGGTATATTTTTGATGATGATTATTCCTAGCTTATGCTTTTATTAGAATTGTACAACACATTATATGTACTGTATGTTTCTGTTTCATGTGTTTTGTCTTTGTTGTTGTAAAATCACATACATGTTATAACTTCTGTGACCCCCCCCCCCCCCCCATTATTTTTGGGGAATATTACGACTTAACTAATGTGTATATGTGTGTGTTTGTGCACCATATGTAAAACAAGTTCAGACGACATTTATATGCAAAGTGAGCTACTTGGTATAAACCAGTATACCGAGTGTTCACTGCTGTGAGGATGCGTCTTATCACCGTGAAGAACCAACTACAGTACAAGTCTTACATAGTTCTCATAATGGAGGCAGTTTTCATGTGTTATTTTTATGCCCAAACAAAGGCTTGTAGCAGAGAGTCTTGCCTATATGTTTGTCTGTCTGTCTTTCTATCTATATCATTCTCCTTGTCTAATAGCATACTTTAGGGTGTGCAATAAACAGGAACTTAAAAATCAGCAGGAATAACGTCTGATCATTTAGTGTTGTGGAATAAAAACAATGACCTTGTATTTATCTCGCATGAATTACAGGAGGTGAAGTGATGGCTGCCCAGTACTACGATGGTGTGATAGAGGCCGACGACGACAAACCTGACAGCCAGTTCTGCAAGTGGTTCGTGACGGATGATATATTCTCCAACGTCAACTCTGTAGTGTCCAGAATTCACCTCAACCCCATTCCCTCTGTCAGCTCCTGCTCTGGTGGTAAGAACTCGCTTTATTTATTGTTGTCTGCGCTGTACACCTGCAAACTGCCTCTGCCGTTGGTTGTTCGGTACATAATTAGAAGTCATCTTACTCAGAGAAATTATTGAACTTGATATTAAAAGTATAATCATAGCCACATTGTTTATTAGACTCGTACATCTCAACGCCAAATATTATACACGGTCAGTAATTGTACACCTGTCACTGTTTAGCCCAACACACCAGTAGTTAGGTGACTTGATAGTCCAGAGCTTTGCAGTTGTCATGATTATATTACTGGATTGGCAGTCTATTGGTAACCATATCACCGCTTGTTTGCTGTAAAACCCAAATGGCTCACAAACACCCAGACCACAGCGGTTGTCAGTAGTTAGAGGCTGCTGGCCAGGTTCACTGGTCCAACCCCTTTTCTTATTTCAAATTGTTTCTGAAATATAATCTTAATTTATTTTACAAATTCTATAAACCTGTCTCTATTTAATCTATAAACACATTTATATTAATTTCATGTGTGTAGTGGTGGTGTAGTTTGTCCTGTCACTTGAGCTACAGCCCCAGCCTCTACACACCCTTTATGAGTCTCTTTCCTTACAAGTGAATGATAATCCTGAATAAATAGATGCTGTTGTCTTCCTTTACTGGGTAATGTGTATCACTTGCCTACTGATAACTCTACTGTTTTCAGCTGGATTAACTTGGTTGTATAGAGTATTGGTAACTTTCTAAGATAATAAAGACATCCCTAACTTTAGTCTTATGTGAAAAGCCAAAGTGGGTAGCATAGGCATGAGTACCCATCAGTGACAGTGTGGACACAGCACCTGTGTATTAAACCTTCGTCCACAAGGAGACAGCATGGCCGGCACAACACTTGACAGTATTTTTTACTTAAATGATTGGGGCATAAAAATCAGTTATAAAATACGGTAAATGAATCATATGCAGTACTTTTTTAGGTGGAAAGACACCCAGTAGAAATGGCAGGGCTCACAAAATACCTGTTAGTGTGGGCATATGGATGGAGAGAAGACACAACCAAGTTTTATAATGCCATTTGTAGCTCCTCTATAGTCAGTTGTACTTTTGCAGGTGAATTAGATACATCAGACCTGGATATGGATGAGATCGAGGGTGGCGAGCCCCTACTGGCCCTCCACGAACCACCACGACCCCTTCCTCTCCCCGCCGGGTCTGAGTTAGTCCTCTACCACCAAGGTGCCACAGCTTGTGTGCCTTCAGGAGATCTGCCCACTACTCCTGACACCCCAACTCAGGATCACATGTCTCCTCTGGCACTTCCTCCTCCCACTCTCACATCAACTTCACCCGTCTCTACGCCAACCAATATGCTTGTGCCCGTTACACAGAGCAGTTCTTTAGGTCAGTTGCATGAATAACTTAATACAGAGTTATTAAAGAGATAATGTATAAGTATGTATAGTGTCATTTTGTTGTTTCCTTCACTATACAGATACAGAAAAAGCCACAATAACATCAGTGGTCCATAAAACACAACACAGGATATTTTGTGATCAGAATTAAGTAAACACTTCATTAGGCTTGAATAGAATTATGTAAATTTTCATTGTTCTCTATTGTTGACACACAACATGATACTGTACTGTAGTCAAGTTACTAAATGTATTCTTTATCATGATTGGCAACAAGGATTATTTTCTCTGAGGATTTAATGTATGTGTGTGTGTGTGTGTGTTTCAAAAACACAATAATAATCACAGATCAAAACAAAAACAAACTATGCAACCTCTTATGGTCGCTGCATGGAAGGGTAAGCCTGCTGTGGAGAGAAACCCCATTTGTGGAGTTGGCTTTGCCATCCGCCAATGCATCCGACATAGGCTAACTGAAATGCCTGTTGGGATCAATGAGCGCCTCATGACGCTCAGAGTCCCACTGGATCACTCACGTCATGCCTTTTTCATCAGTGCATATGACCCAACACTGGATGCAGATGATTACATGAAGGAGGCCTTTTATGCCGACCTTGACAAGAGTGCTACCCTCTATCCCCAGAGAAGATAAGGTTGTGCTCCTTGGTGACTTCAATGCCAGATTTGGTAGGGAACCATAGGGAGAAATGGACTAGGCAAGTGTATTCCCAAAGATAAACCTGAAAAAGTGCCAAATCGACCCCCTCACCTGGGAGACGATTACTCCACACCGTAACGCTTGGAGGAGCACCACACAAGGTGTCAATACTTTCAAGTTAGCCCGACTGCAAACCGAGGCAGACGAGCGCCAGTGCCGGAAAGACACTGCCACCGCCCCTCCTGCACTAGATGTAGCCCTCAACATGTGCAACATCTGTGATCGACCTTGCTGGTCTTGTACCGGCCTCTCTAGTCACCTCAGAGGTCACCAGCGAAGGTAACATCCTTAAAAACTCGTATCACTGTATCATAGCTGGATGATCGTCATACTAGATTCCGAGTGACAGTAAAGTACAGTAGTAGTAGTAGTATTCGTTCGTTCATTCAGAACCTCCCTAGACCACCAACTACAATGAGCAATTTTTGTAAGATATGTTGCTAGTAAAACAAAGACCTTTTTGTACAGTACAGTAATGGGGGGTAAGCAGACACCAGACCACACACACTAATGTTATTTACTCATGCATTATGTTGTAATAAATGTGTTGGCTGTGGTGCTCCCCTTCCACAACAAGGCCTTGAATACCTACCAGGTTTTCTCATTACTTTTAAAGTTACAGGTTTATGTTGTTTTATCTCTAGTTTTTATAGCTTTTATTTTAATTGTAATTTTTTGTTTCCTCTTCAGAAGGTCACTCGGCACAAGCGTCTTTACCATCACCGTTCCAGTACCGCACTCTGCTTGCCGGGAATGAAGTGGGAAGAATAGGCGGCAGTGGTAGAAGCGGCAGTAATAACGGCCCTGCGTGTAGCAGCAGAGGTCACCACGGCCGGTGCATCATGCTGCAGCACCACTTTCACCAGCGCTCGCGGCGGCCAGCTGGTCCTGCCAAAGCTCTTCTTCCGGCTGGTGATGGGGCTTCCTCCCCATCATTCCAAGCTTCTCCACCCACACCTGACCTCTCTCACTTCTCCTCTGTAAGTTCGTATTATTTATTTTATGATACAATAGCACAAAGATCAATTTCTTTTGGATTTAGTTTTAAGTGTTGACATGTGAGTGAATACGTTAAAGAAATCTTGACCGTTTGAGCAAGTCAGTGTAGATATTTCTTAAGCCGTTCTACACATTTGTTGCACCACGTTGCCAGTGATTTCCTTCCCGTAATACTTTTGACCTCTGTTTGTTTGCAGTTACCTCAACTTGACTCTGGGGATGAGTACGTAGCCATCGAGGAATCCATCATCTCTCTCCTCATTAAGCTTCACTCCAAGCTAACCGGGAAGCCTAACTCTTACCGTCCAAACTTCAGCGATACATCTGATTCTAGAATAGGAGATGGACCTTTCTTTATTACCAAGTTGCTCAATAAAATAGGCCGCAATGATTCTTCTGCCAGACAAGGTATATTGGAAACTATATCCTGCCTCTACTGTAAACGAGAAGAAGACTCCTCCGCGTCCTCCGAAGAAGAAGCCAGAGCAAGAGAGGAGAAGAAAAAGCGAGCCAAGGAGAGACAGAAGAGAGTCATAGCCGAATTTGCAAACCGTCAGCGTCAGTTTATGGAGCAGAATAAAGCGGAGGCGGCGGAGTCCGAGACGAGCGGCAACGACGCCATGGAGGTGGAGGAGGAACAACCGGAGAGACACAAGGAGTACGACTGTGTGATATGTAACCAGTCCATCCCCTCCACGCCCGAGAGACCAGTGGGATTGGTGGTGCTGCTTCAGGTAACGTCTTTAACTGCACCTCTTTTAATTATACACGGTGGTCAAAAAGTCACTATACATCTATAATGATTAATGATATAATTAATGTCTTCTGTGTATAGTAATTATTGTAAATGATTGCTGTAAATATTGGAAGTGGATGCCTTTACCAATATTTACTGTAAGTATAACAAAGATCAGATTATGTATGGACATCCTGTAAGAGAGATACATTGATGGTACAGTTTCTCCCTCTGTTATACTTCGTCTCTTGAGTTCTTATTTATATTCGTGTTATAAATCGTTTGTTTCACTCTTGTTGACAGTTTTTTCTTGACATAATTTCAGGCAACAAGCGTGTTGGGTCACAGAACATCCTCCCAGAAGCCCCTCGGTGTTCCTACCACAGACTCGGAGAGAACGAGACTAAAGCAACGAAGATATACTCTGGGGCAGTACATGGAGGAGAGAACAGACACGCTTAACAGGCACTTTGACTATGTGAGTACAGTATAGTGCAGTACAGTATAGTGCAGTACAGTACAGTGCAGTACAGTATAGTGCAGTACAGTATAGTATAGTGCAGTACAGTACAGTGCAGTACAGTATAGTATAGTGCAGTACAGTGCAGTACAGTATAGTGCAGTACAGTACAGTATAGTAGTACAGTATAGTGTGTACAGTATGGTGCAGTACAGTGCAGCATAGTGCAGTGTAGTACAGTAGTGCAGTAGTGCAGTACAGGTATAGTGCAGTACAGTATAGTGCAGTACAGTATAGTGCAGTACAGTATAGTGCAGTACAGTATAGTGCAGTACAGTACAGTATAGTGCAGTACAGTATAGTGCAGTACAGTACAGTGCAGTACAGTATAGTGCAGTACAGTATAGTGCAGTACAGTACAGTGCAGTACAGTATAGTATAGTGCAGTACAGTACAGTGCAGTACAGTATAGTATAGTGCAGTACAGTACAGTGCAGTACAGTACAGTACAGTAGTAACTTATTCTCAAGAAAATGGGATAAGTGTTTCTTTATTATATAGTGTTGTTGTTTAGGTATTTTGGATTACCTGAAGACTAACACCCCCAGCTTATGTCACCTGATGATTAAATGCCCTCGCACTACCTGGGGGGATATATTAGGTTAGGTTAAGTTGGTTTTGTGTTAGGGTGATGTGATTAGATTAGGTTAGTGTTAAGGTGGTTCATCTTATAGGTTAGGTTAGGTTGATCCAGTATACTTACTATATAGGGTTAGTATACAGTGCACACCTCACAGTAGCACCTTCAGACACATTCTCCAAGAGCTTATAACACTATCCCAACTTTGAATGTGTTAATGATGATAAACCTCTCAAGATCAGTAGCATGTTTGTTGTGATATGATGAGCTGTAGTCATTCATTGATCCTGCTAGAACAACACATTTATAAAAGGTTTAACTAAGGCGACACATTATCATACTGTAGACTGATTAGGGAACAGGAAGATTAAGTGATGGGAATAATTGTGGTTTACAGGGAGTCGGCCAAGTGGAAACTGTGACAAAATGTTCTGGTGTATGGAGACATCTGGAACCTCCCTGTGTGTAGAGGGGCTTCCACATGTCTCCGTACACCGGAACATTTTGTCTCCGTTTCCACTTGGCCGACTGTACTTGACATTAGTGTTGATTTTGAAACTGTATTCCAAGAAAATTAATCCAAATATTGACCTTTGAGCATTAACAGTAGAGAAGAGAAACCTTTGAAATACTTAAAAGATAATATTATGTGAGAGAATTGTATCTTTCAGAACTCGTGGTTGGTGTCCATGAACATTGGGTGGGAGGGAGGAGTCCATGTGCAGACCTGTGGCCACCACCTACACCTAGATTGTCATCAGTCATATCTTCTTGCTCTGCGCTCACAGCCTCGCCCCAACAACCCTCTCAATGTTGACAAGTAAGTTTTTCTCTTGAGTTTAAAGTTGTGTTAGGGTTATGTTATGATTTATGATTAGTCTAAATTCCAGTACAGCATGAGGGTATTCAAGTGACTGTGTTAAGTTCAGAAAATTTCACTGAATTAAATGGAGAGTAGAATATGTACAGTCCTTTTCCTTATGAATCTTTCATATATGTGACACTCGGGGATATTTCTGCCAGTGTCAGAGTAAGTACATCACCGTTTTTATATTCAAAGTTTGTTTTTGCATGTTGTGATCCAGTGCATTAAGAAGTGTACTTTACTATATACTGTATACAGAGAGAACCAGAACAAAGAAAGCAAAAATGTACATTCACAAACAAAAGTCCTGGTGCCTCTTTTGCTGCTCCACGAACCCCGAGATTCAGAATCATGAACCCAAAACACTGATGTATTTTGCTGTCCACAAGTGTTTTGGGTTCACGAGTCTGAATCTCGGGGTTCGTGGAGCAGTAAAAGAGGCGACAGGACTTTTGTTAGTGAATGTACAAGGGAAATGTTGAGTTGACAACAGAATATACCAATATTATTTACCTGCAGTATAACTTGTGGATCTAAGAGAAGGTATAAATGAAACTACTGCATAGGAAAAATAATCAGATCAATTAAGTTTCCATGCCAACAGATGTCTCAAATGTTATGTTTTCATGAGAAGTAAACAAAGAGACATTAATGTGAAGTCTGTCCCTGTACAGTAATTTCTTCATTGGCAATTAGATTTTAGTGTTTCATTCCCAGTTATGCAGAAATTATCTTGTAATATTTGACAGATGGTCCCTGATTATCCCTTCAAAACATGATTGCTTGTTCTCCTCCCAGGGGTGAGTACTGGTGTCCACTCTGTCGACAACTCGGGAATTCAGTGTTACCAATATCTCCCGAAATTGGTGACTTGTCGGCGATGGTGAAGCATCCCTCGACCCATGATAGTGACCTGGTGGAGGAGGTAGACCGCCTTCTGCTAGACCTGACAGTCCCGGTACGTCACACTCTTGTTCCTCACCGAGTTGTTTATGTCTTACGGAATAGATGCTTACATTCTTTTAGTAATTTATCTGTTGAAAGAGGTTATTAATATGGATACCTTTTGTTTTGTAATTTATTAATTTTATTTGTGAAATGACTAATATATTAAATTGTAGAGACATACACCATCACTGTAGGCTAATTACCAGTAATAGTAAATAATAAAAAGAGCGGTTCACAGCTACCTTTTGTGATGGCTAAAGGGATGAGCCACTTGTAGGGTGGTGGTGTTTTGGGAGTTTTCTGTGATGATGACGACGGTGTTTGGTTCACTGTGTTCCTCTCTCAGCCGGTACCTTGTTGGTGTGTTTTTAGCACCTCTCTCTCAACCTTTTTCTTACATTTTTTCTTCTTTCCTTCTTTTTCCTTCTTTCTTTTCTTCTCTCTTCTTTCTTTTCTTCTCTCTTCTTTGTTTTCTTCTTCTTCTTTCTTCCTCCTTAATGTTATGGATGGATAGGTTAAATTAATGTGTACTGTAGAGTCATTTTAAGTTTAGTGACAGCGGCAAGACCTTCATTAATATCACTGATCGTTTCATTCCCCCGACAGACCTTTAGCAGTACCCTGACCAAAGCCATGGCTCAAATGATGGAGGACATGACCATCGCCACGTACGCCAAGTATCGAAACGTCTCCTCCAACCCTTCTACTCCGTCCCTCTTTATGTTCGTCTCGTCCATCTTACGGACGAACCTGGAAGTGGAGTTGGTGCAGCGAGGGGGAATGTTGGTGTATCAGGCCCAGGACGTTAAAATGGACGTGAAGCGCTCGTGTCTCAGTGAGTATTTGTGTATATTGAAGACACCTGCATTCCCGACGTATTCGTTGAACGCACGTCATAGATTCAGATACCTAACGTGTCCACAGATGCCGGTGTTCGGGCACAAATACATAATAAAACGTACCGATACACTTTGACATTCACAAATTCTCTCTCGTGCATATTTTTAGCATTTTCTTGTCTGCCGCACATTGAGTACCATCACCATGGCTTGTACTGCCAGTCACCACATTTGTCATTTTCCCCCATAAAAGGACCCTAGCAGAAGACACCCTCATGATCAGTAGCTTGGGCCAGTAGTAGTGTGCCCCTCTCCTGCTACAGGTCACCTTCAGGCACTTGATACTTTTGTTAGTTCATAAATTTGTTGATGATGTTCAAATTAAGGTGAATAAAGTTTCCTCATATTTATAACAGTCAGAGAAGACATAATGTTTGTTTCATTTACAGTGCCACTCCTTCATGTTACTTGTTTCATTTACAGTGCCACTCCTTCATTGTTACTTGTTTCATTTACAGTGCCACTCCTTCATTGATACTGGTTCCATTTACAGTGCCACTCCTTCATTGTTACTTGTTTCATTTACAGTGCCACTCCTTCATTGATACTGGTTCCATTTACAGTGCCACTCCTTCATTGTTACTTGTTTCATTACAGTGCCACTCCTTCACATTGATACTGGTTCCAATTACAGTGCCACTTCCTTCATTGTTACTTGTTTCATTTACAGTGCCACTCCTTCATTGATACTGGTTCCATTTACAGTCCTTCATTGCTGTTTCATTTACAGTGCCACTCCTTCATTGATACTGGTTCCATTTACAGTGCCACTCCTTCATTGATACTGGTTCCATTTACAGTGCCACTCCTCCTTCATTGTTACTTGTTTCATTTACAGTGCCACTCCTTCATGTTACTTGTTTCATTTACAGTGCCACTCCTTCATGTACTTGGGTTTCACTCCAAGATATTGAGTGGAGGCGGTGACTCCTCCGTGGGTGGTATGGGTGGAGGGTTACACTGGATCAGACAGACCTGGGCATCTATCACCCAGCGGCCCGTGACTGGAAGTGAGGGAGCTGTTACACCGCGGGAGAGAGAAGTTCCTCTGCTGCTGCGCGACCCAGTCAGTCTCCTCCTGCAGCTGATTCTTCTGTTGCCTTCCCGGATAGACCAGGGTATGTCTAGCTTCTTGTGCCCGGAGGTTTTAGACATTATGAGGTATTTTCTCATGTTCGGTCGGTGTTCTGCGACAAACGGATAAAAACGTCGGGTAATATAATTGTAATACTTTTTCCGTGGCAAACTTGGTGCAGGTTGATTCATAGATAAAGTGAACATAGCTGTTGTGTAAAGTACCAGTTGGTGACCCAGAGAGGTTTTGTTGTAATGCTTTTATAGGATTACAGGAGAGTCACTTATGTGTTTGTGCCATTATTACAGAGAATTATGCTGGTATTGTACTATGTGGGAATATAACCAAATTCTTTATATTTTCCTCTTTTTTTGTTCTGTCATAAATCTCTCGTTCTATTCAGGAAATAAGTATTTTCTCGGTGTATGTGATCCGCCTCATGGGAGTTACACTACAGTTCATGGCAGCAGTAATTAACCTTATGTTTACTGTTTTTCAGATTTTTATTTTGATATCTGTTCTAAGCAGAAATTTCTTCCCAGGTTACCTAAGGTGTGTAGTGAGGAACGTGTACCGGGTGGCGGTGGTGGGCGCCGCCGTGTCTGCTCTCCGTTCACTTAACGAGAGTCAGCGGGAGCAGGCGACCACCAGTGGTCCTCTTGCCCCCCTCCTGGCGCTGGCTCACAACACCTTACGCGACAGCCCCTTCTTTTGTGACGACCAGGTGCCACTGGCAGACCAGACACAGGAGGCTTGGACTGTCAACGATGTTACCTGTCAGGTGAACTTTTCTCCAATAATTTTACAAAATGTTTCATAATTTATTTGAGTAACAGTTTATGATGATAATGACACAACAATTATACAGTGTATATTACCTAATACTGTATACTGAACTATGAAGATGTTTAATATGTACAGTATAATATTTGCCTTTTCAGAAGCTTCTCTAATTTTCTTCATCAATGGTTCATAAAAGTTGTGTTGTCATAGACTTCTTTATCAGTAGACCTCACAATCAGACCCTGTTTGGATATAGTTTTGATATATTTCATGGATAAGGGTTAGCACTATATACTGTAATAATTTTGGTCTTCAACACATCCATCTGTCTGTCATTGATTAAGTAACTTTTTATAACCTGATTGTTGGAAAATGTTGAGCAGAAGGCAGTGAGTGACTGTGATCTGCTGCATGTAATAAAATAATATATCTGTAGTATGATGGTTGGCACAGTGTTCACTAGAAGTACGTTTATGGCCCCCACTGCTCACCGCCCTCCCTCCTCTTGTTTTCAGGTTCGAGAAACTTGTCTCTTGTTCCTGAGAATAGCTGCTCTTCTGAAAGCACATTTGATGGAAGAAAACGCACCAGTGATAGCTGACCCCATTGCTGAGTGCGGCGCTCTTGAACAGTACTTGGGAGTCTGGGATATTTGTTCAGTTGTTAACTCTACGATTATGGGTGAGTATTTGGCCTTACTTCTGGATGATTGTAGGATGTTAGTGTCATCTGCCATAATAATAATAATAATAATAATATTTTATCAGTAAACTTGTCATACAGGTATACAATTTGGTTAGGCATGTATATAACTATGCAGGTATACAGTACAGCATGAATATAGACAATATAGGTATATGGTGCAGGTAGGTCGTGGGAGTACTGTACTGTTTCCTGTGTGTCGAGACAGTGCTGGTAAACAACAGTGGTAACAGTAAGGCAACTTGACCAAGCATAGACGATAAAACTATCAGGAATGCATCATGTGTGTTAATGTGGCAGTGACTGTATTATAATAAAGTTAGTTATATCATTCATTTTACAGTTTCTCACATGATTGAAGAAATTATTATCTTCCAAATTTAATTGAAGTTAAAGTTATGTTTTTAATATTAATGATTATATTTGCTACAGGTAATATGTGTGGTACATACCGTGCGAGTGAGGTATCAAGTCCGGTCGAGACTCGTCTGGGAGACTTGGCTGGTGGTGCCAGGGTGTGGTGCAGTGAAGTGGCTTCGTTTGCCTCTCAAGCTCAAGTAGCTGCCTCAACCCTCCTCACTACAGTTCATTTCTCACAACCTCGACTTCTTCGTTTACCACACTCCTACGACGCCATTTTCCAAGTAAGTAATATCCACAGTGCTTGAATGTACTTATTAGAGTTGCAGTAGTTCCTCCATATAATGTGATTCACTATTGTGGGGCTATTTCTTGGTGCTGCCTTGAGGGTCTGCTGTATTGTCTTTTGTGTTTCCTGTAATCAGTTGAGTTAAGTAAATTATTGTTTGTTTACAAGGTGAAAGGAGGCACTTGGTCACGTAGATATAACTCTTGTTCTGGAAAATTGATGACAGTTAGTAGTGGTGGAAATAATGAAGAACTGTAGTTAAAGAGGCAGTGAAGGTACTGTATTTTTTCACCATATAGAGTTATCAGAAACTACAGTGCAGGGCTTTAAATAGTCTGTGTCTGTGAGTGATTGAAGGCCATTATACCAATACTATACACGGACCTTTAAAACACACTAGGAAGACAAATTTTATATATTGTGAAGAAAAAACACATCTGTTCCATATGGTTGTGTTGTCTATTCCAGTGTAATTTTATTGTCTCTGAACACATTGATGGGATGTTCAATTGTTTGGGTTTGTTTTTGAAGGAGTGGATATTAACATTAGATCTTCCAGAGAGAGTTCAGATGAGGGATAGTCAGGGCGGTCAATGTTATATTTACCAGAGCATTGAGTTGGTCTGGGGATTAATGTTACTTGTTTAGCTTCAGGTGGACACACACACACACACACACACTCACACACACAGAGTACTTGTGAGATGTAAATACCAGCCTTTTTTTTCTATTTAAGTTATTCCTCCTAAGTAGCTTTTTACTGTACCCTTCATCCTCCATCCCATCACTCCTTACCAGATCTGTCGTCATGTTTAAGAAATAAGGTTATATTTAATCCAGTGTTTTAGATGAAGCTTCATATATAACTGAAGGAAAGTTTGTAGTAAATACAGTGTTCAGGTTAAGGCTTAAAGAAACCATATTATGAGTGTAGGGATCTTGTATTTATATGAGTATTTGTTAGATATACCCGTACTGTAGAGCGTTGTGTTGTGTTGTCATTAAGGAACCTTCATGACATTGATGTAATTCCCTCCTATCTTCTCTCACAGTATTACCACAGGCGGCAGTGTTCTCAGTGCAACAGTGTCCCCAAGGACCCAAGTGTTTGTCTCTTGTGTGGCACTATTGTTTGCTTAAGAGAACCATGTTGTAAGCAGCAGGAGGTGTGTGAGTGTGTCCAGCATGCTATAGACTGTGGAGCCGGCACCGCCATATTCCTGGTCGTCAACGCTTCAACGGTGATTGTGATTCGAGGTCCACGGGTCTGCTTGTGGGGGTGCATTCATCTGGACTCATTTGGGGAAGAAGACCGTGAATTAAAGTAAGTATTGTACAGATACTCTTCACCTAACTCATGCCACTTTAACGTATATGATCCTTTATATGGAGGTCTCACATCTAACAGACCCTTGGTATAACAGACTTCCCTCCATATGGTCCTTTATATGGAGGTCTCACTAATGTAACATATTTTACCAACTCTTGTTATTAAATTTGAGATGAACCTGAAGAAGAATACATTATGTTTGAAGAGTAAATAGAAGTAAGTTATGTGTTATATTTGTGTCGTGAGAGCTGTACTTTTTAACCTCTGCTGTGTTACTACTTTACACTGTGTTTATGGACAACGTGAAGAATATTTTGTGGTGAGGTCTTTTGATCAATGCTATTTTCAGTATAATCTTTATCTTTTGTACTTTTAAGCTTTTATCTGCTATAATATATAATGGCTGGAATTAAGAGGACACAGACACACACAGACACACACACACACACACACACACACACACACACACACACAGTTATTCATACTACTGTGACCTATTTAACCTAATCTAACTTATTTAACCATATGAACCTAACTTATTTAACCTAACCTCACCTTTGGTATATTCTCCTTCCACACCATTACCCTAGCAGGTCACTTGACACCACCAGACACCAGCTACATGTCCACCAAGTAGAACTACAAGTATACTGTACTGCTGAACCTGACACAGGATCCTCCAGACCAGTAACTCCTTTAATATTATCTTCGAGCATTTTCTTCTGCCAGTGTCTTGTTAGTCACCATTATTCTTCCTTTATCTCTTATAAATGACTGTGCCACCTCTGCATGTCTTATTTTTTATGTGATTCCTTAAAAACATGAGACATTCTTAGTTTTTTCTTCTAATCACGACCACTTAATGAATGTACAGCTGCCTGCCCCTTGCTGGCCATACAACATGGGTAAGTATGTGTTTTAAATTTACATAGTTAAAGGCTATGTCATCCCTTTAGTTAACTGCCACTGTTTTCATTAAGCAGTGTTTACATAAGGTTTCAGTGTCAAGTACAGTACTTAAACTACACTAACAATTAACTCACACATATTGACAATTGCAGGCGCGGGAAGCCCCTGTACCTGAGTGAAGATCGTTACCGCTTGTTGGAGCAACAGTGGCTGTCACATTCCTTTGATCACACCAACCGCCGATGGATATGGCACAGAGATATCCTTTGAGGGATAGAATCATTGTAAATGCGAAGAATAGCCTTGTTATCCTGAAGGTTGAAATTAGCCTAAAGTAAAGGTTTATATTCTTTTTTTGGTGTAACCGGTAAGCATAGGACCTTTATTTTAGTGAGATGTGCTGGTTATGAAGATAGATCACCTGATGCTCTCAAGAACATTTGGCCTCTACCTTGTTGTGTTACCGTCACCACTAACGGGGCTCTGCTTCACTCTTTTTGGATGCAGGTTAAAGAAATAAATAAACTATGTCAGTGTGCAAATATATCCTATTACAATCTAAATAATTATCTATGCAGGACTAAAGGTGTCTGACACTTCTGGATTAATAGTCATTGTTGACATTATTGGTCGTGATTGGTAAACATAATGTACAGTACAGTCCTTCATTGTAGTAGTACAGTGTTGTAAACACCCTGGGCTGATCATCTTCTTCAGGATACAACCAGTCACAAGTAAAGATTTAGTTCACTTTCTCTGGCACAACTTGGTTGCCAATATTTCTTGGAGTAAAATATTCTTTGCTTTTACAATGATTGTGTTAAGAATTTTTGCTTTACAAATTATAAGCTGCAATAAAGCTAAAGATAATGATATGCTGTACTGTACAGTAGGTACTGTATATCTTTATCTGAAGGTTATTGGATAAAGGTTATACTACAACGGGAGAATATTAATATTGGGTGAGCCTTCATCTCCCATGTAACTCTTTGCAACTATGAATTGTGATATTATCTACAACCATTTTGTTTTCAAAGAAAACGTCCAGGGTGTTCAACCGAATGTGATTCGGATTAAATTTCCTTCGTGTTTGGGAACTTATTTTAACTTGAACAGAAGAAATAGTTACATCTTACACATTTTTTCAGTAGGTAATTAATAACTAGACATTATGTGATAAAGGATGAGCATTTATTGGTTGGTGGGAGTAAGGGAGCACCCTGTAATTTGATCTATCATAGTTTTACTGTATACATATGTATGGAGGATTTCTTTGTTTCTTGCACATTAGTAGATGCAAATGAGCCATTTTGGGCATTCAAGATATAACTGTTAAGTCCTTGTAGTTTATTTAAGTGTGATGTAAATATTGTGTCATGATGTAGGGCAGGTAACAGCTATGCTCGCCTGTACAGGAGCAGTCTCTTAAGAGTTGTTTATGGGTACATAAAGGCCAAATTCATACTTATTTATTGTATACTCATCCCCATATAATAAACATACAGTTTGAATTACTTCTGTGAGTTGGATAATTACATAAGAGCTCAAGTAATGTTTAAGTAAACTCTTGTATAAAGAAATCACTTGTACACATTGTATAAATATGTCATGTACTGTACATAGTAACAAGTCATATTATGCAGCAGCTAGGGATGGGAGTGTTAGAAGCACAACAACTCTGTATTCAGGTAACTGTTGTGGAATGTGAACAGAGAGTAATTGTTTATTATACAGTACTGGAGTTTTATGCTTCAGCAACTGTACATGTATGTACTCTAGGGGTCTTCTCAGTGACCACCTAAACATATATGTAAACAGTGCAGGATTGTTCGTTAACTTTGTACATTAATTTTCAGTTACTTGTATAAGGAATGTGTAGTCACTTGACACAAAGCAAAGTAATTTATAGTACGTTATTTATTTATATAATAGCTTACTTGTTGTAGCTGTAGTTGCCATGGATTTCTGTGCTGGGACAACAACATCCCAACATTATCTTTTTTAATATTTTAATATTTTCTTCTTTATGTCTGCTTTGTGGAGCATATGATGGTATGGCACTGTCTGTCAGTCTTTGTTAATATTTTAGTTTTGTAAGATGTCATTTGTTCTACACATCACAACTTTACCAATCTTTACTGGGGAGTTGGTCATAGGGATACACATAAACCTATTGAGTTTGAGGTAATTGTGACCCAGAAAAGAGAACAGAGTTTCTACATCTCTGGGCTTCTGTGATGTATGCAGTTTTCATTATTTTACATATAATTGATGTAAATCTTGTCTTGCATTCATGGCAGAGTTTCACATGCAGAATATTGATGTTCATCGCCACGCCTCGGTCAAAGTCCCATCGCCAATACTTGAGACGTGATGAACTAGGCCTGTTAGTTTGGTCGTTGCAAGAATGAATTACTAGTTGTTTCATGATTATATTTATAATTTTTAGTCCATTAAGGGAATGAGGATGGCTTTTATGGAAATATATGAGGAAGAATGTGGACATTGAATGAATATAAAAGAAAGAGGTGGAAGGTAAGAGGAAATGAGCAACAAAGGGTTGTATTAAAAGATAATAAGTGTTGCTGCTGCAGTGTGTACAGGTTCTAATGTTGGACTCATTAATGGGAGTGAAAGGCAACTTTTATACCTCGACTGTTGATCATCAATTCTACCTTTGTAATGAAGGTCAGAAAATAACTTGCTTTTTTATAATAAATTCCATCTCCTTCCCTTTACCTTGGTAATATTAAACATTTAAGATGGCGAGCATCAACACCTCCCACAGTGACAGATGCAATACTGAAAACTTGCTGTCAAAATCTGGGAATGTGATAAAGGTGCAGCATTTTGACATTTTGGTATTTCACTTGAAAATATTTACAACAAAATGATTTATGTTGTCACGCTACTCCCAGAGAGAAATATTTTGACAATTTTTATTTTTATTATATTTTTTTTGAGTGTGTGTGTGTGTGTGTGAGTGAAGCTCCCCATTCTGGAAATTAGGCATAGACTTGTCATTGATGTTTGTGTATCCACATGTCGTTGCATCATCTGTAAGCTCTTGGTGTCCACATTACCCTTGGGCTTGCTATACTGTACTGTACTAGTTGCAGCCAGATTTTTCATCAATCAATAAGTGAAATATGCAGATGAAATAAGCTTGAAATACAGGGAGAGCTTGGCATATAGTTGTTATTGAGAACTTGGCTGTCAAGTGTTTATATGCATTAATGGATTAATATATCTCTAGTATACAGTTTACTTGATACATTACATTATTTCTTCACCTCGGCCGTTAACACAGCTCAACATTCTTTTGGCGCTATATTATTGTGAAGTCCTATTAATGAACAGAATAATACACTTGGTGTTGCTAAACCATAAATCTATCTCTTTATCACCAGCTGGATGTTAGACCTTCAGTGGTATACAGTAAAGTATTCAACTTTGCCCCTTACATTATTACAATTATATTTCCTGCTTCTTCAACTCCGTTACAACTTAACACATCTCATTTTTCTTGTTTAATATCTTATGTTGATACAGTCTTCCTTGTTTCAACCACAGCTCATCATTGCTACATACAGTACTACAACCTAAATTAGTAATGACTCTCGATAATATTTTAAACGTCAGAGGGGGTTTAGTGCATCAGTTTACCAGAGCTCCTCGAGATGTTCTAAACCAGTAAAGTTTCAGCATTTATTCCTTTGGGTAATTAGTCATAGTTATAGCTGTATTGGGACTCAGAATAGACGTTTGCTTATTGACTTCATCATTCAGTGTATGGCTTTAATGTTCCCTGACCACCTGAGATACTGAACAGTTCTTCAGTAGGGATGGATAAGTATATGTCCTTACTCTGTGCACACCTGGTCCTATTAATAATTTTCTCACATTGGTTTACCTGTAACAGCGGGCAAATGAATTTATAGTTGAAACATTTTTTTTTCTACTAACTTCTATACATATAACTTGATTATGGTAAATTATGAACAGTTAACATGCATTAGTGGTAGTTAACCCTCTAACTCTAAGGTGTGTTAACCTACATCCACACATACAATTGAGGGGTGTATACACTATCATGCACCAGTGTATAAAATGTTTGTTTCCCCGCCTGGTACTACCCTCCCAGATATTAATGAGTATACAGTGGTCCCTCGGTTAACGAACACAATTTCGTTAACCGAATCCATTGTTCAATGGGATATTGGGTAATTGGTTCCAGCTCACTGAAAAGTACAGTACATACAAAGTAAAAAAAATTGCAGTAAAGTACACTTACTTTGAGGTGTGTATGTAGAAGGCTCCTGGTTGATGATGATGATGGTAATTAGAAGGGGGGGAAGAGAAATCACCCCATGCTTGATGCTGTCATTTCACCAATAAAATTTTAGGTCACTTGGTGTAATTCAAGATTATTTTCTTTAAATCACCACTGCACTGCACTATATATTGTCAATATGTTAAATAAATTTCAGAATGACCAATAATTGGTCTGTAAATACGTAAAAATACTCTGTGTTCAAGAGACCCACAAGCAAGATGTTTCCTCCACTGAACAGAGACACAAACTGACGCCTTGGTGGGTTAGTGAAGTGGCTGATGGGTGCACCAAAAACTAGTTCCCTGTACTGCAATTATACTAAATAAGTGTTAAAATGACTAATAATTTTAATATAAAACTTGGAAAAATATTGAATAACACAACCTTCTTGATATTTACTCCAATTGGAAACGAGTATAAGCCCTGGAACCGATTACTGTATTGGCGGACTAATCTTCCAGCTGGTGAGCAAGCCAAAACATGTTGACATGTTTTCGTAAGAATTTCGATAACCGAATTTTGGTTCGTTAACCGAATTGAAGATTCTTATGAAGGTAATTCGTTAACCGAGGGACCACTGTACAATGTTAATACTGTATATATAACATCCCCCATGTTTCTTTTACAGCAAAATAAACATTAATAAATTTTTTGCAACATCCATAATCCATCCCTCGTAAAACATTCTGCATGGGAGAATCTACAGTGAATGTGGGCGATAGTCTCCTCGGACGTTTATTGATGGTTTTATTTATTATTAGTGTTCCTTTTTTCTCTCTATGACACTTAGCATTTTCCCCCTAACTAACTGCAGTGATTGGCATTTTTTTTTTATGTATTACTGTTCTGTATCTTGATGGAGGCGGGAGATAAATAGAAAAAAAAATCGATAAAAGGATATTGTTAACTTTTTATTCTAGGCAGCTAAGGACATTATTTTAATCATTATTATCCAAACATTTTATCAGTCACCCCAGGAGAGATGTAAAAAAAAAATCCTATTCCAGATATATAAGCAGGTTTGTTTTGTTTCTTATTAATAATCTCTTCAAAGGTTTTCATTATTCACAATCGCTTATTTTTATCATTGATCATGTCATTTTTTTCGTTTTCATTATTTCTTTTCATTTCCCCCTCATAGTTTGCCTTCACATATGACAGGTGTATGAACTAGTCAGACTTGTTTTATAGTTCCCTGGTAGCTGTATCTTCAGTGCTATATTCTAAAGAAAATATAAAATGCATGATATAGAGATCCAAGTATATCATATATGACATTATATTCTGGTTGTGAATATGTCACTTTTTTCTTTTGCAGTTGAAGATATGTAGCCAAACGTCTCCTTAAAATGTTATGTAGTAAATCCAATGATTGCCATGTGTGTGTGTGGACGCTGCAGCAGGTGATACTCTCATTAAGGTCCTTAGCGGTGCATCCACAAGTTGACATCTATTGGGGTAGACTTGTTAGGTTTACTTCTGTTGCTTATAAAGATGACTTAAGAGCATATTAAACACTTTCAAGGCACAGGTTGTATTTTGTTGTAGATTTTGTTTCATACAGTATACTGTAAGGACAAACCTCCCTCTGTTTTGGTCACCAACTATTTCCACACCATTAAGCTTAAGAGACCAATACCAATACTCTGAAATATTTACTGGAGAAATCTACTTATTGCTTTGGCTATCACATTTGTGAATCACTTGCTAACTTCTTACACAGTTGCAATTATATACAGTACTTGGTATATTGTATTGTATTATACATGAATAAATATAATTGAAAAAGTGTGGAAATATGGAAGGAAAAAATGTCAAAATATAAAATTATCCTTCGTGCCACAACTCGCTCACACCAGTACAGTGCAGTATGTTCACTTACTCTTGTACGTGGAAGAGAGTTATTGTTAAAATATTGACATTTAAACTAAAGAATAGTTATCAAATGCGGTAGTTTTGAACATGGCAGCACACGAAGGTACTAACTCGAGAATGCACGTGCAATATGCTATACCTCTACTGGTAAGGTGGAACTTGTATTTATAGGCTACTGTACTCAAAATGTAAATTTTATTTCAAGATTAAGGGATATCTTGATGCCTAACCTTTCCTAAGTGTTCCAATAAGTCTGTCATTAAACCTGTTAAGCCCACTTGTGTATTATTTATTATTGTGAATAGTTTTGTATGTATTACTTCTTATTTGTTATGTTGATTATATTTGTTATCAAGGAAGTAGAGTTTTACATTATCTAATGTTTTTGTTTGGCAAAGTAACATTGCAATGTGTATAAAATATGTATGTAATTATAGTCTATGTTTCATTGAAAACTTGTGAATAATGATTGATATTATATCAGGAAGGGCAACCTCATCTTTTTTTACTCCTACAAACAATTTTAAGGACGTCTCTTGCTAAAATATTCACTCGAGGTAGTTATAATACTGTGAGAGCGGCGGACCTTATGAGGACGTGCTAAGCTTAAACACATTTATATTTTGTTCGAAAAACACACATCCACTCGGAATTGGAAGTTGACAATGTTAACTGCTTCGGTACATCCAAAATAACACCGAACATGAAGGTAAAAATATTACAAGAGGTGAGTAAAGAGAGTCACAAAATGAAGGCAATTCTACCAGAAGTCATTAGGTACTGTAATTACCATATTAACATCCTTGATCAGGGTGGAGAGGAGAACTTGTACAGTATTGATATTTTGAACAACATTGTAGTCAGTAATTAAGTTGTCATTTAAGCTTACTTGTATTATTGATTCTGCTAGAACCTGGATCTTTCCGTGCCATGATTTTTAAGTTTGGCGCCTGATATCTTCCGCTCGATTGATCTACGGTATTGTTATTTGTGGCATCTTTTCCGTCCCCAAGGTGCACTGCCTAGGTCCCCCCCCCACTACCTCCTACCATACATAGTATCTTTTCTCCCATTGTTCGTGGCTCTCGTTTGACATACAGGAAATATCACACCACTTTATTCAGTGAGCAAAACTTATCATTTTCATAAGAATATTTTATAATTTTATCCATATTTAACCCCTGGGCTTTGGACTATGGTCAGTGCCCCCAATACTGTATGTCCTTACCACAGGTTAGCAACACAGGCTAGGAAGAGTTGAGAATATTTGTCAATTGGCATGTGTAATGCAATAGTACGAGGTAAACAACACTAAATTGTAGGCAATATGAGTTACAGGACACTTCCTTTACTATGTTATTACTATTAATATTCCTTATTAATGCTCCAGTAATTAATCACAATACTAGACTTGAGCTAGGGGGTTGAGGGGTAGAAACACATGGTGACTCGTGTCAAGACCAAGGGTGAGATGTCTTCATCACAAAAGCTGAGAAGGGACTGGGAGGCTCTCATGTGTGAGTGAGTGAAAGATAAAATACCTACTTAGCAACATAATCTAGCCAGGCAGTGTTGATCCTGCAACAACAGACACTTGCTGAACCACCACTGATGAAGAGGAACAAGTTCTTTGCCCTGGCCAACCGGTCTTCTACACCAAGACCAACTCCATCACTGAGGTCTCACTCTACCTCAACCAGCCATGTCTACAGGAAGATGGTGATTCCCTTGGCTACTGGAGGGCCAAGCAACTGCTGTTTCCTGCCCTCACCAGACTGGCAGCAAAGTACTTGGCCATTCCTGCTACATCGGCTCCTGTGGAACGACTGTTCTCCATTGCTGGCAAGCTCTCCAGGCCAGAGAGGTGCAATTTAAGCAATAAAAGATTTGAGCAACTTATGATGATCAGATGCAATCCTCAGTAACTTGGACTCATTCATATTTTGTTTACTAATACAAAGAATTAAACCATTTGAACTTTTGGTTGGTGAAGAATGTGGTTGTTTGTGTGGTAAAGCATTTTGATAAATAAAGAAGTTAATTTGAAACCTCAAACTTTTATTTCTTTCCATTAGATTAATAGTAGATTAGAATTGATTTTGAATTGAAAAGCATTTGAATTGAACTGAATGAAATATCGACCATAATGAATTGAATTGAATTGGAATTGATTAATTCAAATTTTATTCTGAATTGGAATTGAATTGAATTGACAAAAATGAATTGACCCCATCTCTGAGACTCATGACCCAAGCTGAACAGACACACCACAGGACGTGACCCACAGCCTAGGGGTTAAAAACCCTCATATTTCCCCATCAAAACAAATAATGTACATAAATAGCTATTGTAAAAAGGCTACAAGCAAAGACACTACAGGTACAGTTATGGTAACGTGTTCCTACACTCCTGTGGTAACCCGTGTCTCCAAACGGCACCATCACAGTAGTAGTACAGTATCACTATTTAAGAATGAATGGGTATTGGTCGAGTAACAACGGACGTGATTGGTGGATGAGTTACGTCCCCCCTGTCCCCAGCCAATCACAGACCTTCACAAATGCCTAACAAGCCACTCGGCCCACTACAAGCAGTTCGGTCACTGGCACAGTACACACGTTCACATAACTTTATACATTTATTTTCACCATCTACTTAAAAAAACTAATTAGTGGAGATGATTTATTTTAAACATTCCCTGTGGTAATCTATCATAAAGTAATAATTAATTTACTAAGGCAATATAGCGTATAAGTTATAGCGGAACCATAGCTTTTTGAGAGATAGAAGTTAACTATACAACTGTTAACTGTAATAAAACTGTCTATCACTGCTACGTCCTTAATTAAGTTAAAGTCCCGCTCGTGACTTAGTGTAGAGTTGAGTAAAAGAAGAGTTGGCAACACTAGGTGGTGGTGTGGTGAACTGTCTCACTCAGTGTGCTGGGGAGGCTCAGCTTGGTGTGGTGTGTGGAGTGACTCGCTCTCTCCTCTCTGGGACCTTACAGTGGAGAGTGTATTATATAAAGGTAATTTAATGAAGTGTTTCCCTCGTGTGGGTGTGTAAGATAATCTGTGTTATTGGTCTTTGTTA